ATGGTCTACTTAGTCCTAGGCTTGGGTCTCTTTTGCTAGATGACACTGCATTACTTTGCAAGTTTAATATTGGGAAAATGATTGTCAAGCAGACTATGGCAAATCTAATACTTGAAATTTGTTTTGTTTCACTTTGAAAATGATTAGATTGAAGCTTGCCTGCATTGCATGTGCGTAAGAGATGAGGGCTAAGGCCAAGTATTAAAAGGTACCATGGTTCTGTTTTGAAATATGTCTGCATAAATAATAGGGTGCCTTGGGTTTTGTGGTTCTTTTAGAGTAAGTTAATATTATTTTGCATAATGACAGTGTTTTTCCAAGTGTTAGCTCTGTAATGTCCTTTTTATCTTCAAATATTAGTGTTTTCCTGTGCATTCCCACTAAACTGGAAAATTTCACTTTTGCCCATATGTTTCTAAGGGAGATGTGGGCAGGATTTGTTTCTCTACTAGAAATGTATTTATCAATTCTCTTATGCAAGTCGATACAGAATTTAGCTCACTCTTTTCTACCTCATTATCATGATTGAAATCAGTATGTGTAGTTTATAAAAGTTCTTCTGGTTCTGATATAAATATTTCTGTTGGAGAAGACGCTGTAGCTTTTCTGGACACCTTTTAGAGTGGGAACATGTCGTATTAAAGCAGAGAAATTTTCATAAGAAAATTTTGTTTTCTTTCAGACATTATTACAGTATGCTGGCACCCGGGGTGCATCAGAACATATTTTGCCTTTTTTGGAAGTGTATCGAATCTCCATCCAAAGTTTTGCAAATGCACGACCTTACTTGACTACAGAATGTGAAGATGTTCTTCTGGTTCTTGGCCGGCTAGTACTGTAAGTCTTTAATTTGGTACATTTATTTTACAAAATCAGCATAATACAACCTGGTTAACTTTGAAATTAGTAAACAATAAGGCCACAACATGATGTGATAAAATGTAGTAGGACTTGTATTTTAATTTGACAATTGTAGCTGTAAAAGTATTTTATCTACTAGGAAATGTACTTTTGTATATTTTGTGAAGCTTTGTTGTAGTGTGAAATTGCAGTATGTAGCACTGTATTTCTCAGTCTCTAAAAAGCAGTAAGATTGCTGCCTTTTATGCTAACTAAAGTGTATGAATTAGTGAAGTTGTGTTCCATGCTGTAGTTACCAGGGAAATAGTCAGTCTGGTCATTAATTGCTTTGGTCTAAGCCAGGGGTAGGCAAAATGCGGGTTGGGGGCCGGATATGGCCTGCCAGGCCATTTTATCTGGTCCATGAGGCCCCTAAAACATTTAGAAAATTAATATTAATCTGCCTTGGGCTGCCTGTCATGCGGCCCTCAATGGCTTGCCAAAACTCAGTAAGTGGCCCTCTACCCAAAATAATTGCCCACCCCTGGTCTAAGCACATAGGCAGGCAAGGTTCTTTGGGTAGATGTGATATCTCTTTATTAGGCCAACTAAATAGTTAGAAAAAAGTTACTTGCAAACTGTTGGGCACAAACACCCTTCTTCAGGCATTGGGAGATGCTGCTGCTGTTGGGATTTATTTATGCATTGATGATTATATTAGTACAATCTTTAATGTTGGATAGGCTTCTAGTAGCTACCCAGAAAACTTCTGTTCATTTATGGTTATTGTCCAACTGAAGTTGGATTCCTCTTAATTCTGTAATAAATTTTGACATGGCCCTGGCAATTTTTATATAAAGTAGATACCTTGAAAGCTGAAAAATCTTAAGTCAGTAACTTTCCTGTTTTGTCTGTGACCTGAGTATAATTTCCACATGGTCTTCTTTTGTGTTGGTATATTCCTTCAAGAATATAAAATGTAAACAAAGGATTAAGACCACACATTTCTCAAAGTAAATGCTCTTATTTCTTTTTGAAAAAAATTTTTCTTATTACAAAACACTCTCCATTTTTGTTTTTGTCTTTATTCATTTTTCCATTTTAAACAAAAGACTATAGAACTCACCATGTTCAATCAGATTGTCAGTCATGTAATATGCAAAATATTTTCATCATTTTTTAATGGCTGGCTGTTTTCTTTTTTTTTATGGAATCTCCCTGTTATAAGAAGTTGAATAACTCCCCTATTTACCTTTCCTATATCACTCACTATTTTTCATACTTGTATCCTGTTCATCTCCCTTCTAAACTAAATGGTTCCAGTCTTTCAGTATCTTCATGTGCGAGTCTTTTTATTGTGTTTAATCACAGGTCTCTAAACTATCTATTGTTGGAGCCTGTTCTTTGAAATAAAATATCAAATCTCTATGCCAGATTTGTGCAAGTAAAAGAAAGTTTCCCCTATCCACTAGAATGAAGAAAACTGAAATCAGTTTGTAGAGGAATTCATTGTTGCATGTGCAAGCCCCACAGCCAGTATAAACTTAGTGATAAAGGGCAGTGGGAGTGGTTCAAAGAGCTGACTGAGAATAAGAGGACACCATAGTATGTGACACCATAGTATGTTTGCTGGATGAGGGGGGAGGAAGTTTGATAAGGAAGAGGCAGCCAGGGGGAGAATCTGGTGATTTAGGGAGTAGAAATGTGAGGAGGGAAGAAAGAGCATGCTGGGTTTTGTCAGGCTTTTTTTCTTTATGGGAAGAAGGTAAGAAAGAGCTTTAAAGCAAGGCGTTAAATTTGGCAAATAATTGTTGGGAATTCATGGTATTGTTCCTTGGACAAGAAAATGATAGAACTAGTATGCCAAACTGCTTCATAAATTTGGAGCATTAAGAAAACCTTTGTTTCATTGTAAATTGGGGTTATGGGGGGAATTTATGACACAAGCTTAAGCTTTGTCTGTATCTTTACTATGCGGTGTTAAGATAGAAAGTGTCCCTTGTGGAAAAGCAAAAGTGTAGACTGAGAGCACTGAGGGGGGGGAAATAATCCTTGCTTTCTGTCCGTGATGGTAGTTCTCTTACATTAGGACTATTTTGGGTATAGCCTGTGGTAACAATCCCATCACTATTGGTGGATACCAATGCAAGGTGTTAAACTGTAGCTGTTAATGTCTGCATGACTGTAGCAGAATTACGCAGACCCTGCTTCGTCCAGGGTCAAAGAGCAATTTACTTGGCCTGTGTTGCTGTAAGTTTATGCAGATGTAATATTTAAGTCCTAATAGCTGGTGCCTGCTGCTCCTTGTCCCATTTTAAAGTGGCTAAGCTATAGGTTTGTCCATACCCTTTTCTTTTAAAACAGAAGGAGTGCTTGCTTTCAACTTCTGGTAGTTTGTGAGGGGACTTCTGAATTCTGCCTGTAGATTCCAGATGACTAATTCAGATCTATTTCTCATTTCTGTACTCACAAAATAGGAAGGAATTAAACATGAGAGAGAGTAGATTAACCTTTTAAATAACCAACCAGTGTAATGTGTCCTGAAGTTATTCTTTCATATGACAGGTAATTATGAAGAACTAGCCACATCAAAAGTACCCGTCAGGAATAAACTAGGAGCCTGATTTGCCAATGCCCTTAAGTACATGGTTGACTTCTGCTGTTGAGATGCTTTTCTGCTTAGTTGGGCACCAGTTACTTACCTTCCTGACCTAAGACCTATTTGTGTAGAGAGAACCTCAAGGAAATTCAAGAGATACCATCAAAGTGAAAAATGTATTTTTGTCTGAAGACTGTTCTGTGTATATCAGACTCACAGGGCTAATAGAATAAAAGGTTTTGAGAGCAGTCTCCAATACATACACTTTGTGCCCATTTGGCAGCCATTTATATGGTCTTTTTAATTGTTTCTTGTTGGCAGTTATTTGAATATCTTGGCTAGTGTGATGCCATCACTAATATGAGGCACTTCTGTATGGTACTCCTTGCCAGGTCTGAAAAAGGATGCTTGCATACAGCTATTGCTGAAGTCTTGGAGAAAAAGGGGACGGTCTGAATAAGACTTGAGTGATTATTGGGTCTCTAAGAGCATCAGTCTCTTAAATCATTCATGAGGTGATGGAGCATACCAAAATTTAAAAAAATATTTCTCATGAATTAAGAATGTTTTAAAAAAATCAATTAGTGACTGCACTGAATGAGGTGAAATACAGTTAGAGACCAGTAAAGAAAATTATACAAGTTAATGTTTTGAAATGGAGAGAACTTCCTAACTTTCTTCCCTATTCAGCAAGCTAGTTCTTTTCCTAAAGCTTGTACTCTCTCTTTTTCGCTTTTCCCCTAGCATTATCTCCCCCTCCCTCCAAATCCCTGTTCTTTCTGATAAAGTTTTTAACTGAATACAGTGGCTGAACTGCAGAGAAATGCAGGGTGGGGTTTTTTGGGGGTTTTTTGTCTTTTTGGAAGTGTTGCTGAAAGAGGAGCAGTAATAGTGATGCTGGTTCCCTCAGTAGCCAAGCTGTGCTGCTCACTTCCAGTGACATTTTGTTTGGGGAGGAAAGGGAAAAATATAGAAGGGCAGTAACTGGAGAGAAGGAGGAAAAAATGGAGTGGCCTCGTTTAACTGGGTATCTCCTGTCTAGTCAGAAAATCATGTTTCCTTTAGACACATGACTAGGAGAAGGCACTTGGCTTATCACTGCAGTTGCCATTTTGAAGAGCCCAGCAACTGAAAGAGCTGTACCCAGTGCCTTGTCACACTGGCGTTTCCAATTTTTGAGTGCTTAACTTTGCAAGCCTGACAGCTTAATAACTTTCTTTTTTAAATGCAGTTTCCTGGAGCTTTCTAAAAGTTGCTTTATAGGTGCACAACAATGGATTGGGTCAAGTCCACTCTAATATTGGAACAAGCTCTTATCTTGTATAACCACTTTTATAACATTTAGGTGTGGTAGAGCTAAGAAACCTATTGTGACGTGGTTCGAGAACTTCACTCCTTTGGTTAGAAACAATTTTCCAATTTCTAATCTAAATTTGTTCATGAAAGTTTTATATCTATTTGTTTTGTGCTAAATTTGCCAATTAGTTTAAACTGCTTTCCTTTGAAAGGATGTAAAGATGATGATGATGTGGAATATATATGTCAGATGCTTCCAAGGTCCCAGAATTCTTCAGTAGTTTATTTTTTTGTGATGCAGTGTCACTAGGGATCTCCAAAATTTGTGCTGGAAGTGCATAGCTTGCTGGCTGCTTCAATCTTGCAGTTTTCTTGTGTGCTCCACTCAGTTCCTATGCCCGCTGGCTGGGAGGTGAAAATCATGGCATATTTAAAATCCCGATGTTTGCCTCCCAGCCCTCAGGCACAGACAGTGAGCAATAGGCCCCCTCCACCAGTCAGCAGTTGGGTTCAGGAGTGGGGTGCACGGGGAAACTTCAAGATTAAAGAAGCTGTTGTACCCCGTGCTCCTGGCACAAGTTCTGGAGAGCCCAGCATGTCACCTGTTCCAATTTTTAAATAGTGTAAAGGAATGATTGAGAGGTAATGGTTTTAAAAAGATATGACACACTTTAAGCTCTGATTTAGGCCATAATCAAAACATTTTGCTTCTGATAACTTTAGTTAAGGTTGGCATTTTGGTGTCTAGCCTGAATATAGAACTTGCGTATTCAATTTGCATTTTTCAAGGTATCAGTTTTGAAGCTGTGCAGACTTTATTTGTTTCTATTAATTTCACTTTCTTTTTATGGTTTTCTTTAAACACAAAGAGTCTGTGCAGCTATTAATGAAACACTGGCAAAATGATGAATTAACACCGGTGACTAAAATTCTGCATCATGTAGTTCTGGTAGTCATTAATTACATGATCACCTATTATTTTGCCTAGTATAATCTGTAACATGAGGCATCTGTTGTCTGCTATATTCCACATGCCAAAGCTGGGGGAAACGGGGGGAGGGAGGGAGGCAGGAGGCTGCTGTGGGTCTGACTCTGGTCCTGACCTGGGCTCAGGGCCAGAGTCTGAGCTGCAGCAGCTGCCTGCTTCAACCGCCCTGCTCTCTCCCCCCCTTTGCTTTGTATGAGAATATAAGCTTTACCCCTCATGCTGAGTTGGGGGAGGGGGTCACCTCATATTCAAGTAAATACAGTATGTGGGGCTGATCCAGCCTTGAGCAAGGGGTTAAATTAGATGACCTCCTGAGTTCCCTTTCAGATTTACTTTTTTTATGATTTTTTCACTTGGATCATAAGGAAATAAGTACTAATTTTTAATCACAAGTCTTGGTTTTTGAAGTAGTGAGTACTTGCAAGTTTAGCTGACATCAATAGTTAAGAGCATGGTGACACTTGGGATTTGGGTCAAATTAATAAACTGATACTAGAGCTCTATTAAAATTAATATAAGTATGAGATCAGAAGAAATTATAGCTAAAGAAATAAATATGAGAAAGTATGGGTTTTGATTTAAGATTGTTTTCGTGCCTTGGCACAAAGGAGCAAAATCAAAATTGGATATGCAATATTAGGTGTCTTGATTTTTGAGGGAGTGTGGTGGTTCTTTATTCATATTGCATATGCTTATATAAACTATTCTGAAGCTTAAACTCTGCATGAAAAGTAATATTCCCCCCCCCTGCCCCCCCAGAAGAATTCCAGGATTCAAGGCAGTGATTTAAGATAGTGCTGGGTTGGGTGACTAGGTGGTTTTGGGGAAGGGGGGCATTGTTTGGTTTGGTTTTTTTTGTTGTTGAGGTTTTTTTTGTGTGTAGTTAGTTCAAAAATTGCTTTTTGTCTCCATCTTCCTGTTGGCTATGTTATTGGAAAAGTGCTCAGCTTCTTGGGGCTTGTTGCTTTACTACCACTGTGGGAAATGTAGCTTCCCCATCTCTCAAACATTTTCTCCATATAGATCTGGCTGTGAAAAACAACAAGGTAAAATGACAGGTGGGGAAAAATTGACCATAGTGCATAGAAAAGAGATAAAGGAGGCTAAAGATATTTAGAGGAAAGAAGTCTGTGACCAGTGGGTTTAAGAAAAATGACAAATCTTTTAAATACAAGGAATAAAAGGAACTTTACCAGTGGTACAAATGGAACTGGTGAAACTGTCAGTGATAAAACAGTTTTAAAAAAATACGTTTGTCTATGGAAAGAATCTTACAAAGCAGTAAATGCTATTATGGCAAAATAATCTCTATCTTAGTAATAAGGAAGGAAGATGTCCTGATTTTTACAAGAAAGCATTTAACTTTGTATTAAAGTCTGGATAACTTTTAACCAGGAGTTTTAAGAGTGTTTGGAAGAGTTGCATGGGCTACTGATGCTAATTTTCAATAAATCTTGAATAGCAGGAGACATTGCAAAGAACTTGAGCGCTGTTGAGAAGATATTGTAAAATTAATTGCCAGAGGGGTGATCTGGTAATTCTAAACCTGTTAATCTGACACCAAAGCCAAGATAAAACTTTAATTGAACTGTCTGTTTAGTGTTTGTGGTAGTCAGCATGGTTTTAGATAAACTCGGTATTGTTAAACTTGATACCACTTTCATGGATACAAGTTTGATCAAAAGTTATTGGGTTTTTTTATGTATTTAATTTTTTACGGGGTTTCAGTTAAATATCTCAATTCCATATGATATTTATTTTGAGGAGTGGAAAGCATCCTACATTAGTATTTTAATTTATTGACTTGCACATAATTGAAATAAAATTTAGTGTTAACTGATTTCAGTGTAATAGCCTGCCTTCCGAGTGTAGCTGTGTCTAATATCTCTTGAGGATCTGTATGCTTAAATTTAGTGCTGCATGTTTTCCTGATTTTTAAAAATGAGCATTGTAAAAACTATATGATGTATGTTAAATGGAATAACATATGGTTAACGTTTGATCTTGGCATGAATGTCAAGGAGGAAACGTTTAGTGCAGGGGTTGGCAACTACGGCCATGATACTGGAGGGTTTTTTCCCTGCCGAGGGCTGAGGCAGGGAAGTGCAGGAAAGTGACGTAGACAGACCTAGTTTCTAATTGCCCAGTCCCAGCTAGGGTTCCCACCAGCTAGAGGCTCTGCCCACGCTGCAGCCAGAAAAAGGGGGTCAGTTGCACAAGTACAGCTCCTAGCTGCCTGGTCTCTGCGTGGGCACAAACCAAGCCCCTGCAGCTGACATACCCCTGAACCTGCCAGCCTGCTTTGGACCAGAACTGGGTTGTTCCAGCCCAGGTCTCTTAAAGGTTGGCTGCCATTGATCTAATACAGGGGTGCTTAAACCCTGGCCTGCAGGCCAGATCTAGTCCACAGAGCCATGGCATTCAGCCCATGGGTCAGGAAATTTTGGCTGTGGGTGAACAGGGCAATTAATAATACTGCCCTCCTCCCCTGCTGCCAGATTTCCAAGTTCCTCATGGCTGGATCAGGCCAGGCTACATATATCCCCTGTTCACTGGATTAGGCCCACCAATCTGGCCTGCAGGGCAAAAAGGTTGAACACCACTGATCCAGCACATCTGTTTCTGATGTGGTCCTGCAGAAATTGGTATTCAAATCAAGGCATTTATGATTCCTGAGAAAATACTGTTACAGATTAAATTTATGGATGCCACAGATTCAAGAAGTAGTTTAATCCACTGAAGAAGTTACTTTCATGCACAGCTATCTAAAGTTGCTTGACTCAACCAGCCAAGCAAATTTAGTGATTGCCAGTGCACAGGAAGTCTGGCATCCATCCCTCAGTGCTACACTTCCTCTGGCACCCTTTCAAGCTGCTGACACATGGGGAGTCTGGCAACTGGGCATGCCAGGACCTGGGGCCACCCCCTGTCCAGTCCCAATGATAAAGTGATCCATGGGATCAAGCAGGGGCCTGCCCTGGGTCTGGGACACATGCCAAACTTCTGTTTCGAGCAGGATACAAGCCAATCGCTAAGATGTACCACATTAAATGTAGAGCATCTTCGTGGCTGCTTTTGCCATTTTATCTCAATGTAAATTCTTTCTCCCATATTATAGTTTGTCTTGCAATTAACATGTTAATTGCACAGTAAATCTGACATCTGCCAGGAGTCGTACAGTTGCACGTGATTCTACATGAAGGAGCAAATGTTATGGATGGGGGGTGATGTTTCTTGGAACATAGTAGCTGAAAAACCTGATTGGTGACACTGAACACAAGCTTCTAGAGAGAGGTAGCAAGACATACTAGGTGGAAGGCAGGGTGCTGTGGCAGCTGACAGATTATTGCAGAGAGGCATGAGCTTTTGTAGGCTACTGCCCACTTCATCAGGTGCTATAAACGGTTGTGCAGAGAGCAGGGCTACTAAATGGAAAGGAACATGGTCATTTAAATACAAAGAAATAGTTTTGTTAATCTGAAGTCAGGCAGAAATCAGGGTGCAGTTGTACCATATAGGCTAATCAGTTAAATTAATTGAATTAGTCTACAAGGTGCAACTCTACACTGCCTTCTGAGTGAAGCTATAATATGAATCAGAACTATCCCTTCATAAAATTGTTCCAACTCATGTCTGCTAGCGTAGAAACCCTCTATTAGAGTTCTCGCTATAAGTTATTTACAGGCTGTGATAGTGGACTCCTGATCATTTTAGTCTTCTAGGCTTGCTCTTCTTCCTACATCTCTCTAGCTGGGGAATCTCTTGGTGTTCACAAGAATTTTAGCAGCTATGAGGGGGTGGGCTTTCTAGCTTAGCTCCCAAGACCTGACTCAGGAGCAAATCCTTCCACAAATCTTCCTGCTTTTAAAAGCTGTGTTCGGGGCTATAACTTCAAGCTGTTAGTCCCTTTTTGTGCATCACTTCCAAAATGATTGATTGCCTGAATATCTGATTGCATGATGAGACTGTATGACAGGCAGGGATTTGATGCACATGCTGTATATAATAGTGGAGAGGACATGCAGAGTTGTGAGTCTTGTAGTGCAAGGAACTGCCAAGCTGTGTGTATGGGACAGGTTGACTGCCTGGCTTCCCTTCAAAGTGATTATCAAGGGTTGTGACATTTGGACAAAAGCCTTTAGGACTTTGGTATAGGGCTACTGTGTGTATAGGTACATGGTAGTTCTGGCATTGTCGGTCACTTCCTCTACCTTTTGCACTGTAGGAATGGTGTTCTTTGCAGCACTCTGCCCTCTGTGCTGAAGACATGACTTGTGTATAGTGGAAATGTACTGCAGCATGGGTTTTTACTGAGGAAACCTTTCTCCAGACTAGAGTCTTGGTGGGCGTCTTCCTTTTCAGCAGCTAGCGATTGTTTGAACCTTGTCTTACCAAGGCAGGAATTCATTGATTCACTGAGAGCAGTTCCATAGAACTACATAGGAAAGTCCTATCTCCTTGCATGCTAGATGTGAACTGGAAAGAGATGCTTCCCTGTAAGGTTCTGGGGGGTGGTCTAATTAATATTGTCAAGTTTATCAACATTTTTTTTCAGAACAGTGTGGTTGTTTTAGGAGGTCTTTACAAGGTATAATTAATATTGTCTGGATGCCTTAATTGCACATTTTTTCCTTTAGCATGTTTGAAGAACTTCATAATTTAATCTTAACTCTGAATTTCTTGCATTTTATAATGCCTGAGTTCCTTTGGGTTAGTTATTATGTCTCTGTGTTGTTTCCCCTTCCCTTCTTTCTCCCTCCCATTCCTCCCCCAAGTTGTTAATATTCTCAAATAAAACAACCACTTAAATGTAGTTTGAGAGTAAAACAAGACTGCAATAAAATGCTATTTCCCCATTTGCTGTTAAAACACATTAGTTGGCTTGCTTAAACAGCTGTTCTGTTGCAGGAGCTGTTTTGAACTACTGCTTTCAATTCCTGAAAGTGAATTGCCACGTGAAGTATGGTTAGGATTCCATCAGTCTATGCGGGTAAGCATGTTTCAGTTCAGGTTTTCTAATGTTGCTTTCTGTCTCATTTTGTTATTTATTAAATTACCATTTTTTTTACAGTTAAAATGTCAGATGTGTATTGGACAAACTGTACAATGACCCAAAGAAACTGGCAATGAAAGACGTAGATGTCTGTGGAATGTCTGAGGACACGATTCCATCTGGGCATATGTCAATGGGGTGTAGAGGGAGGGCTTGTATAAGAGGGTGATTATCTGAAGACCTTGCATTGCAGTGGTAGGAAAACATGGACAAAGTCACAGACAGAAATGTGCGTAGTAAATGACAAGGCTAGTGTCATTTTATGAAAGTATGAGGTTGCAATTAAATAATAAAGTGGGGGTGGGAACTAATAAAAGAAAAGCTTTTAAAAGTTGATAAGTCACTTTTCTTAAAGGCAGGAACACTACATGAACCAGTCACTTGAAGATGTGCTTTGCATATGCATGACAGTTTCAGTAGCAGTAACTTTTCAAAATGATGAATCTCTGAATATAGTAGTCTCAGGAAAAGGCTCAAATTTTTGTGTAGTTTCACCTGAACCTATCCAGTTTCAGCTTCTAGCCACTGGATCTAGTTTAATCTGCCAAAGTAAAGAGCCCTGTATCCACTTTGTTCCCCATGTAGATATTTCAATATTGATCAAGTCATCCCTTTGTCTTTGGAAAACTATAGAAATTGAGCTCCTTGAATCTTTCCACATAAGGAAGGTTCCCCAGTGTTGTAACTAAGATTCACTTTTAAGGCTGGCTATAATTGTGTTGGTAGAGTAAAATAATTGCTTAAATTAGTTGTCTCCGTCACTAATTCAAGAAAAAAATACATTGAGTAACTTTCTGCAAGGGATTTGATGGTGTCTTATAGAGGCGCACTGATATATCAGTCCATATCATATTAGCACTGATAAAAGGAAAATTAACATTATCGGCAATAGGCTTTTTTTGGCCAATGTGGCTGATAGTCATCGATAAATGCCATGTGCATGAGCACAGCCACAGCATGCATGTAGCCAGGAATGCAGCCCAGCAGCTTGGAGAGCTGGGTCAGCCGGTAAGTGTATGGGGCGGGGAAGGGGCATGGGAGGGGCGGAGCTACAGGGTAGTTACAGTGAATTTTGGAGTGGCTGTAGTGCCCCCTCCCAGTGCTACAGCCCCTGCCCAGCCTCTTCAGGAAGAGGTCACAGCAGGCAGCCTGCTCTTGGTCTGCACACAGACCGGGCCTGGGGGCTCATGCCCCCCCCCAATATCTCCCCCAGGAGGGCACACGGCTGTGAAAGCTACCCTTCCCCCTGCCCCCACCCCCCCTTCCTGCTGCCCCACTACCTCCCTCACTGTGGGCAGCT